CTACATATTGACACATTCTGGGGGTCCATCACTACATACAAGTACTTTCTGGTGGTCTATACTACGTATAGGTACTTTCTAGTGGTCCACTACTAAGTATAGGTATTTTCTGGTGATTCACTACTACATATATGTATTTTCTGGTGGTCCATCACTATATATTGGTACTTTCTGGTGGTCCATCACTACATATTGGTAATTTCTGGTGGTCATTCACTACATATAGGTACTTTCTGGTGGTCCATCACAACATATGGACCACCAGAAAGTACCTATAACTACATATTGGTACTTTCTGGTGGTCCATCACTACATATTGGTTCTTTCTGGTGGTCCATCACTACATATTGGTACTTTCTGGTGGTCCATCACTACATATTGGTACTTTCTGGTGGTCCATCACTACACATAGATACTTTCTGGTGGTCCATCACTACATATTGGTACTTTCTGGTGGTTCCCCCATAACATATAGGTACTTTCTAGTGGTCCATCACTACATATTGGTACTTTCTGGTGGTCCACCACAACATATAAGTACTTTCTAGTGGTCCATCACTACATATAGGTACTTTCTGGTGGTCCGTCACTGCATATAGGTACTTTCTTTTGGTCCATCATTACATATATGTACTTTCTGATGGTCTTTCACTACATACTGGTACTTTCTAGTGGTCCATCACTACATGTAGGTACTTTCCGTTGGTCGATCACTGCATATAGGTAATTTCTGGCGGTCCATCACTACATTTTGGTTCTTTCTGGTGATCCACCTCTGCATATTGGTACTTTCTAGTGGTCCACCACAACATATAGGTACTTTCTAGTGGTCCATCAATGCATATAGGTACTTTCTGGTGGTCCATCATGCATACTAACATAATAATTAAGACTTGCTATCAGGCCCACATGTCTGTTGTTGCTCCAAATGATTCATTTCTTGCAAGAACTTCCTAAATTTCATCTTTAAATGTCAATTTTTCTTTTGTCAATATTTCCTCTACTTGGTGAGAGAGGTTGAGTTACCTTCTCTCTTATGTTTATAGTGCTCTGTGATTTTGACTGTGGCACTACTTTTTTTCCACTGTGTCTATTCTGCATTTCCTAACAAACCTTTCGGTTCAGTATATTGTTTATTTATTATTTTTTAGGGTGGGGAGGGTGTTGTGGCATTTGAGACCTGGCCAGAGAGTACCTTTTATTTATATAATAAGTGATATTTCTCTTGGCTACTTTCCAGATTATGAGTACTTTGAGAAGGTCTCAGTTGGTATAGGTGCTTTACGTTTACCGTATATCGTCTCTTTATGCCTTATACTCCAAATCTCTCTCCTCCTCTGAGAAAGGAAAGTTGGCACCGAGATGTATTTTCTCAAGGCAGAAAGCACAAAAAGATTTGAAAAGTAGAAGTAATGGTGAGGCGTGCCTGGGTGTGAATTAGATTTATGATATGCCCAGTTAAACGCTACGAGCATTGGTGACCTTGTGGAAAGAGAACCATGTTTGTAATACGCTTAAAATATATATTTTAACCATTGTATACTTTTATTCAAAGGATTCTCTTACTATTTGTAGTGTCCTTGATGGAGAACAATTGGCCTCTATTGGTCCTGGGGAGGTTATCAAGCTGTATATTGAGTTTGTCCTTGATGCTTTCTGGGGATGTGTGGCTAATGGGCTTATTACCGTGTGTCAGTTACCATCCGGCAAAGCTTGAAGACTTTGAAACTCTTGCCCCCCCCCCTCCCCCGTGAGAGTCAGAGGAGAGACTTCCTCTGGACGAGGAATTCTATAACAACAACCATTCCTTTATCTCGAGGACAACGGCCTTTGCTTACATTCAAGTTGTCCATTCCGCGGCCTTGAGCCATTCTTCATATGAGACTAACGTGGAAGACCTTTCACAGTTCGCTGGCTTCCTGTCCTCGTCGAGGTCACTAGAGAGAATGTGATCCTCAGGCTAACCTCGGGTGAAGTTATTAGTTCTGCGATCATTAATGTTGTTCGGTGTTTAATGTTTAACGTACAACAGTAATGTCTCTTAATTTTGAATGGTAAGGCCTAGGAATATATTTCATTAGACAGGTTAACAGCGTCTAATGCTATTATTTTTCCCGTTGCATGTTGCATTAAACTCCTATTTTATAATTCCCTTTCACGAACTTTCACGATATAACTCGTAGTATCGAGGCTCGACAAGGCCAGGATGTGGTGGGGCAATAGTGTATAATCTACCGATGTCTTCAGCTGGGATGATCCTGTTTAGAGTGTACACAGAGTTGCTGTTGGGTTTTTGGCTGAAGCGTAGTCTACTACCCAACTACTTGGGCTGAACGGTAGAGCGACGGTCTCGCTTCATGCAGGTTGGCGTTCAATTCCCGACCGTCCAAGTGGTTGGGGGACCATTCCTTCCCTCCGTCCCATCCCAAACCCTTATCCTGACCCCTTCCAAGTGCTATATAGTCGAAATGGCTTGGCGCTTTTCCCCTGATAGTTCAGTTCAATTCTCCGGAGAGCCTGGGTACTTGAGGCGTTCTCGCTCTGCCTCGGATATTGCTGGTAACTCTTGGGCTGGTATTGTAGGTGTCCGGGTTCGTGGCGTCGAGGTGTTGGATGTGGTCGATTCTACTACAGATATGTCTCCGTCAGGTGTAATATCGCGCACTGGAGGCGCGGCCGGTGTTGCAGATGGTGAAGTTTCAGAATCATCCACAGGTGTCGTTCCTGGAGCAGGTCCTGGAGGTTGGGTTGGAGGATCAGGGACTGAGGGAGCAGGAGGCTCTGTAGACTGCATCGCATGATGCAATAAGAGATTCTGATGTACATTGGGTGTTGCAGGATTAGTAGGTAGTTCAGGATCAATTGCAGGAACATGAGGTGCTATGGTCGGTGTTGCAATTGTACGTGCAGTAAGCAAGTCAGCTGGAATGTTAATGGTTGATAATGCTGTTTGCATATTTTGTTGATGGTAACGTCAGTGGTTGAGGTTGTTGTTATTGATGTATTTCCTGCCCAAGCAGTAGGCTGAAGTGTGGAAGCGCTGCTACAATGGTAAAGTGCTATAAAGTTGTAATGACTTGGCGCTTTCCCCCTGATAATTCCCTCCCTCCCTCTCCTCCATCACAGAGCACGCACCGTGTGTAGGGTGCACCTGCAAGTCTCGTAGTGGTGGTGGTCGAGGCAGAAGGTGCTGCGTTTTCCTTCGGTCAGTGTACACCGTCGGGTGTAGTGGTCATGTCTGTTGCATTGTCGACATTGAATAGAATGTCTCTTTCGTTACTTGTCCTGGCGGTGTGGCGGTGCCACAGCATCTGAATCCGTTGTCTACGGCAAGTGTGGCGTTATCAGCCCTGTTGCTTGCTGTTGGCTTCATTCTCGAGGATTTTTACTGAAACCGCAGTTAGCGCAGAGGTTGTTGTGCCTTGTTGCTATCGGTAACGGTGACATTAGGTCGGTCGGAAATCTAGAGGAAGGGAGGGGGGGGATAAGAGGGGGGGTGGATGAAGGGAGGGAGAGGGTCCAGAGAGATGGGGTAAGGGTGGGGAGGACTAGGAGAGGGGGAGGTGAAAGATGGGGAAGACGAGGTGAGGGAGAGGGCACTCGGGAACCGCCAGGTACCCCTCCTAATACACCAATAAGATATCTGTATAATTGTTTGTCCAGAGTTGTAGGCCAGACGCTTAGGGTAAGCCTCACCCAAACTAACAAAGGCAATGGTCTGGGGTACGGGATGAACATAGGCTGGTCGGGATCGCCAGAATACCAAAGGGAACAGCGTGCCAGGGTCGCATTCAGACCACCACGACGATTTTTGTACATTTTGAAAAAAAATCAAATTTAAATTTTAGTTTTATTACAGAAATATACACCATTTTTCCCTGATTTCGTGAAAATTAACAGAAATTTCCTGTTATTTAACTAAGTTCATAATCCTATATAGATGTTAATTAAATTAGTACTGCCTCCACTTCCCACAGAACCCACAAATTAAAAAAAAAGGTGAACTATTGTATTCTGCATTAATGTAATTAAATATTAACAATTACATATGACATTTAATCTTATTATGCTAATAATAATATTGTAGGGTACAGAGAGAGGGAGAGAGAGAGAGGAGAGAGAAAGGGAAGTAGGGGTGGAGGGGAGACGACGAAAGGGGTGACGAAGGTGGTGTGGGAGAGGTGGAAGGAGGGGAAAAAACATACATTTTCTGAGAGAAGGGGGAGAGGGGGCGAGGGAAGGGAGGGGGGGAGAGGGGGTAGGTCATGGGGAGGGACAAAGGTGGGGGACCAAGAGAATGGGGATGAGGGGGGGGGGGATCAAGACGATATGGGAGATGAGGGGTATAGATGGATAGATATATGGATAGATGGATGGATAAAGGGACAAATAGATGGGTAGATGGAAAGAATAGATGTATGGATAGACAGGAAACAGACCCAGACAATGCCGGGTATCTCGCTAGTATGCCTATAAGAATGTGTCTTATTCAAAGCTGGAGGTCAGACACATGGGCAGTCTCACCTAAATCCTCACCTAAATTTGTAAGGGAAATTATGTGAAGAATGGGCCGCACATAGACTGGTCTGGCTAGATCTAAATTCATTGCTTTGAGAAAGATTAGAAATATTGAGACCTATCTTATCTGATTTCATGGACTTAAGTGTGGTTAAGGGTGAAATATGGGTTGTGATGCTCTAAACAAAAATTTATAATGGTAAAAATTTATTTTTTGACGGTTTTTTCTGTTCCTTAAAATATGTTTTCTGAGAAAAGGTGAAGAGGGGCGAAGGGAAGGGGGGGGGGTGGGGTGCAGAAGAGCGAGAGGGAAGGGAGAGAGGAGGAGGAGGATGATGGCTTCAAGCTCAACAAGTTACAATGTAGTAAATAAGAGATGCTTTGACACCCATAGGGTTACCAGATGAGGTACCCGCCAGTGTACCTCATCTGGTCGACAGAAGGGTCGACCCTATGTCCAGGCGTCGCCCAAATACTTACAGGTCCCCCCCCCCATCATACACACCTTCCTTGTCTCCACACACACACACACACACACACACACACACCACATCTCCCACCAGGTGTACCCACACAGACCCCCTCCCTGTTACCCCCAAACACGACCTTCTCATCTCTGTCTACATACACACTCTCCTTATCCACCCACACACACCCAATCGAGCTTGCCCAAATACACACCTTCCCATTTTAGCCACATCATTGCAACCATTTTCATTACTTGCATTCTTCACTTCAAAAATCTACGCAGCCTCCCCATCTCCCCCACATACCCTGTCTTCTTCCCCCACATACACTCTGCCTTTCCACACAAACACACACACACCCCATTTCCCCCACAAACAACCTCCCCATCACAACCCCCCCCACACACACACCCTCCCCCCATATACACAGTCTCCAACCACAAACACTCACTCAATACCCCAGGCACTTCTCTCCCTCACACACGCCTTCCCTGTTTCACCTCATCACTGTAAACATCACTTACACACACATCCCTATCTCCACCCACACACACACACACACTTTCCTCATATCCCCTATATTGTACCTATTTTAATTATAAACAATGTACATCACTGTAATCAGAAGGTTGTGCCCAGAATGCAAATTTGTCATCTTAACATTTGTTTTGCATGTCAATATTTGAATACACTAATATTTAAACAAATGCTAAACTCTATCAACTTTCGAAAGGCGATTTACACCTCTGTAAAAGGTGTTTTACAGAGGCTGATTGCCCTTCAAGGGCAATGATAGGGGCAACATTGGCTATTTATTGGCCTCGAGGGTTGATCAATCACCATGCAAAGTTGCATGAGGCTAGCCTTGCCCAAGGATCTGACTTCCAACCTTGGGCGGACAGATTGATGATTGATAAAGATTAAGCTACCCTAATGGTGGCACGGGCATGAATAGCCCGTAAGTGGAGGCTCTTTCGAGCCATTACCAGTACCAATGGTTAATACTAGAGATCTGTGGATGGATGGGGGAGTCTTGATGGTGAATTTCAGCCTCGGAGGGCTGGCAGTACCAGTTATGGATCTGGTGGGTAATTAGTGTGGACCTCTAGGTCTTCAGTTTTTTCTTTGGCTGAAACTTGCTGCGAGTTGACATGGCCGTGCAGTTGTTGAGGTTTGGTTAGGTGACCTCTATGAGGAGATTTTGTACCGAGTAGGGGTCGTATTTGTGCTGCGTTGGTGGAGCTCCGACTAAGATTTCCTCGTCTGAGGAGTCCATACCATCCGTAGTTGGTAGTTTTGTCATTGCTCTCGCAGCCTGAGGTAGCCTCAGGTGTCGTGGATTAGTGGTCGAAGCTATTTCAAGAGCGTTGGTGGTGCCGTTAATATGTGTAGTCAGAACGTCTGCTAACGCGTCTTCTGAGATGGTGATGGTAGGAGTGTTGGGAGCAGGAGAGGGAAATACCTATGTGTATTTCTGGAGCGTGAACTCCAGACTCCAGAACCACCCGAGACCCGGCCGCCCTGGTCTCGGGTGGTTCTGGAGTTTAAGATCACCCTCGTGGTCGTCCTGGTGGTTGTCTCCGGAGTGGTAGTGGAGGCTGTGAGACTTACGTCCAGGGCACTGATGGGGTTCAGGCCATTAACTAGGTTCATTGGCTGGTCCAGCAAGCCTCTCCGCTAGTCGAATAAGATCAGGTATAATGCCTGCATGTGATGCAAGGGACTGTGAGGGTGCTGGCTGGTTCTTAGGTCCCCAATGTGGAGGCCGGGTGGCCTGTTGGGAGTGACAGGGTCCTACACTGTTTGGTAGGACTGGGAAGACCTACCAAAACAGTTGAAGGTTGGTGGGAGCTGAGGTGCTGGGTTTGGTGTCGGTGACTCCGGTGGCTGAAGTAGAAGGTTTGGCTTTATTGGATTCAGCCTTGGTCCTAATTATTTCCTGTCTGCGAGAGCAGCGGTGGGAAATTGCAGGGTGATCGCCGCTACAGAGCAAACAGCAATGGGTTTTTAGCACCGAAAGCACTGTTGGAGCACGTGGAATTGTTCCTTCTTCACTTGGAGGGGTAGAATCTTGATGCCGGAGCAGTGGAGACCATATCTAAGGTGGTGAAGGATATCTTCATGGGGGGCACTTGTCGTCGTCGGTATCGGTGCTGCAGAACATAACATAGAATACCCCCAGGTTCAGGTTCTCTTCCTCGATGTTGGTAATGATCTCCGCTTGTTCTCGGTCCGTGAGGCCAGCGGCTGACCCGCTGATAAAAGACTGTTCAGTCAGCGGTGTACTGACGTGGGAATAGAAGAAATAGGTGGTGCACTTTGCGAATTGTGCAAACGAGTTTTTGGAATTTTTCGAGATCCTCCACACATGAGAAATAGAGTACAATATTCTCCCCTTCTTGACCAAGGTCGATGGGTGTAATGTCGGCGCCTTCTTTTAAGACCTCCAAGACGTCACTTTTGGTGAAAGCATGGCCGTCCATGGGGCGAGTCCCGACTTCTATTGGTTTGTGGCGCATTGTCGTTGTTAAAACCCCTTCAATGGGTCGCAGTGGCGATGGACGTCTTGTGAAGTTACTCAGGCTTGCTGGTGTGGACCGGGTGTGTGTGGTGTGGTGCGTGAAAGATAGACCAGATGGGGTACCCAGAAGTGCCCGGGTCGAGCCTGTGCTTAAGTCTCTCCCACACATCCTCTTAGGTTCCCCTCCACACCCAACTTCCCCATATCTTCCCCACAGACACCCTTCCCATCTCTTTCAACATGCACCCTTCATGTCACCCCCTCACACACTTTCCCCTATCTCACCTCATCACTGCAACCATTTTCACAAAACACCGTCATCATCACTGTAAACATATTCACACCATACTCATATCCACTTACCCACCATTGCCTCAACCCACACATACTCTTCCCATATTCCCTTCACTACAACTATTCTCACTACATACGATCTACATCGCTATAATC